TGGCATGATGAATGGCCTGAATGCAAATGGCCCTTTGTAGGTCAACAGCAAGAATCATCTCACCATCTTCCATCTCTTCATCCCACTGGTCCTCAGGGTCTTTATCTGATAGTTTAAATGGAATCTTCTGGCACTAGCATTGTGCAAACATGATGCATCCAGTCTTTCAATTGATTAGCAGATTATATCAAATTAGCCAATTATGGCCAAGGAATATCTCCTTAGTCCCTAAGTTGGTTACTGCCAAGTTGATCCATTCAGAATGATCTCTGATAGTGAGCCTAAGCTTGACATATTCAGTGATCAAACTGGCTTGGTTTTTGGTTCTGTCTGTGCTGTACACAGAGATCAGAGCTGCTGTGGCCTGAGTGAGAAGATTGTGCTTATTGATGAAAGCATGGTTAATGAAACTCCCTGTGCATCTACTGTCAATCAGCATCATGACAGTGTGGGTACTCCAAGATATGAGTGTCTCAATTTGGGCCTTAGTTACTAGATCTTAGCCTGAAGTCTTAGCCTGTCAGATGAACTTTCATGGTCCATGTAATTTGTCAAGCCATTCTAAGGCTTGACATCATTCAACTCCTTGCATCTCAGTGATTATGTCATCAATCACCTCCTCAGCTTAAGTCTTATGTATCCAATTTTTGAGTACAACTTTTACCACTTCTTTATCCTTCATGTTCTTGATGGCTTGCCAAGTCCATTCAGTTTCAAATGGCTTTAGCCAGCCAATGGGGTTCTCTATCTCTGTTCAGCCTATAGGCATTTGAGCATTTACTGGTTCATTAGTTTGATGAACTTTAAGTGATGGTGCACTTTTTCAGAGGCTCTCTGCCCTTGTTCAGCCATACATCAGCAATTGAGATTCCTCTTTTGGTTTTTTAGGTGATTCTGATGTCTGAGTGGTAAGGCATGCATAATTTAGGCATAGGTGGTGTTACTACAGAGATAAAGTCAGTCTGTCCAGCTGATATCTTCAAATAACTATTCTGTGATTGCTTGTGCAGTTTCACTTGCTAAGGTTCATCCTTCCATCCAGCTAGTTAGGGCACAATGTCCATGCACAATATATCTGTGATGGTTTGATGTCTCTGACATGTGCATTGTGTCTGCATGTAATACCTGGAAGATTAATGGTGTAAAGGTCATCATTAGGGGTGCCTTGATGGTCTTCTGGTGCTCCTGGCATATGTTGCAAGTGCTAACAAACCATGAGATATCATGCTCCATCTCTGGCCATCAAAATCTCTCTTTAATCAATATTTTTATCGCATATATACCTCAGTGTCCAAGCTGATCATGTGCAGCTTTCATTATATACATCCTCTTCTCTGGATAGATGACTAGCTTATATTCCAACTCTATATCTCATCTATATAGCTTTCCTTTATCCACCATGAAGTTCTTTGCATATCTTATGAAGTTCCGGTATTGATTATCATTAAATTCAGGTACCTGCATGGTAGGGTTCTCATGCCACTGAATTACCTGTGGCAATCGCTTATCTAGCATCTTTGCATACCTGCTCCTTCATGATTCATCATAACTTGCTATGTCACTGTACTTGGCAGCATCAGAGAGCAGTAGTCCTGTGTTATATAGTACTGCACATGTTTCACTGTGCTCCAAGGCTTTCTGTATTACTTTGTCTTCATGGAAGTCATGTACCACTCTGGCAACTGTTACAAAGCCATACTGAGTGTCAATTCTCTCTTTAAATTCTGCAATGTCTTCTATCTCATCTTCAGTCTCATTGATGAATTCCCATGGTTTCTCCTCTGGTGGACTGTATTCATCTTCTGGGTTTGAGTATTCTTCATCTCCTGGCTGGAAACTGCACCTAGATAATCTATCTGGTGCATGTCTCTCACCTGGGATATGTACCAATATGAAGTGGAATATCAGAATAGACTCTATCCATCTGTTTATTGCAGCATTAGGAACTTCATCCGGGTTTCTAAGCATTCCTGCAATGTATTTTGCATCTGTCTCTACCACCAATTTTCTCACTCCAAAGAGCCAATGTCAGCAAGCATGCAGGGCTCTAAATAGTCCATAGAGCTCCTATTTTGGTTGTAAAAAGCATGCTTCCTGCTCATTTAAAACAATGGAACCAAAGTGTGTATATCTCCTTCACTTTGGGTTATCTGGATTGACTTGACAGATATGGAATCCAACTGCATGGTATGATGTGTCTACTCCCAATATCACATCTGTGTCCAGTTCATAATCAATTGGCATCAAAGATAGGCTAGAGCACAATGCATCCTTCAATATCTGCATTGATTCTCTCTGCTCATCTCTAAATTCAAATGGTACTTTTAAGTGAGTTAATCTTGTCAAGGCATCTGCTTTCTTGGCATAATCCTTAATGAACATCCTGTGTACTCCCACTGTTCTCAGGAAAGAATGCACATCTTCTAAGTCTTCACATGGTCCCCATCACATTATCACTCCTACTCTGTCTGTTTCGGGTTTTCTGCCTTCATAGGTGCAACAGTGTCCCACAACTATGATCTCTAATGTGCAAAGAACAGCTTTATGACCAGAGAAAGTTCCTCCAGCATATTTCATGTGCTGTACAACATGGTTCATATTCTGGAAGTGCTCCTACACAAATCTGTGAATCCCTCAGTTTTTCTTGATAGTTTCATATCCCTCATCTTTAATTTCATAGCACATTTTCAGTCCTTATACCAGAACATCATCTACATATAGTATAATGATGTGAGGTACTTCATCCTTCAATATATATGTCACATCATCATGAAATATTAGTACAGAGTTTGTCCATCCCATGGGCAATGTCATGAGTCTTAGCATGCCAAATGATGTTTGGAATGTGGTAAGATCTCTAGATCCCTCATCTAAGGTTCTCTCATCATATCCTATATAGAGATCCAATGTGCCTTCACAGGAATGTCCTGCAAAGTGCTCTGCTAGCTCATCTGTTGCTGGAGACACTTCCGAGTGCTTGATTGTGACTGCATTCAAGGGCTCCAGGCTATGGACTAGTCTCAGGCTCTTTCCATCTTTCTTAACCACACAAAACCAATGCAAGCAATAAGAGGAGTTTGATGGCTCATACACTCCTGCATCAATTTTAGTTTTTATTATCTTATATATCTGATCAAATATTTCTGGTGGAATTGGTATGTTCTTCTGTATCCAAGGAGTATGCTCTACAGCTGAGATGGTTACAGGAGGAAAGTACTCCTCCTTAAAATGGCCTTGCTGATATGCAGGCTACATGTCCAGCCCTATAATTTGCAAATTCTGCATAACACACTAGAATATGCTAGTAACTGAGAATCATTAGCCAGTAGAGGACTAT